CCTGGGGGGGGCAGGTGGTCCAGCAGGCGGATTCCGGGGCGGCCCCACCCCGCCCCTGGCTGGCTGAGTTCCCTCCAGAGCGTGAGGGGAGCATGAGCTGGGGCCCGAGTCCTGGTTCCCGAGGCCCGGACCTGCCTCAGGGGTGCCCCCCCGCAGCAACTGGCCCCCTGGGCCTCAGGGAGGCGTGGGTGGAACTCAGGTTCCCATTGCACTTGGTGTCCAGGGACGGACCTCCCTCCCGGGCCCACCAGGCTCTGCACCCGGCTGGGCCCCAGGCTGGCCTGTGGCTGCTACTCAAGCCTCCAGGAGCCCACTGGCCACTCCCCCGTCTCCCTGCTCAGGGGGTCCCTGTTGCCCAAAGGCCCGAGTGTGGGGAGACCTGGCATCGTGGGGCTCTTGAAGTTGGGGTACCCAGAGGGGGTAGAGCTGCAGGGAGGGCCCCATCTTGGAGAGGGAGGGCAGTGGTGGGGCCTGCCCAACAGGGTGTGTGTGAACCGCGGTCACCTGGCTGCGGCTCCCGACGGTTCGGAGCTAGAGCCTGGCTGGTGGCTCAGCTGGTTGGAGCCGAGCTCCTGCACCAAAGGTTGCTGGCTGATCCCGGTTGGGGTGCGATGGGAGGCATCCGATTGATGTTTCTCATGTCAATGTGTTTTCTCTCTCTCCTCCCTCTTTAAAAATCAATAAAAAATACCCTCAGGTTAGGATTTGTTAAAAAATGAGAGAATACAATAGAAAGGAGAGGACAGGCCCACCTCCTGCTAGCGGGGGGGGGAGGGGGGTCTGCTGGCTTTGGCTCCCACGGGCCAGACGACAGGTGCACCCCCACTGAAGCTGAAGGGCCGAGCTTCTGAGGGACAGAGGCGGCTGAGGATACGCCTTCACACCCACTGCTCGCCCCGCCAGAGGTGACCAGGTCAGCGCCTGCAGCCAGGCCGCTCCCGTGGGCCAGCGGGTGGGCAGGAGACCGAGGTCCGGCCCCATCCTTCCTGCACGTGGTCCGGCGCAGCTTTGGGACTTGGCCTCTCACCGTCCTGGTGACCGACTCTGGGCCCAAGGGAACCTGTGGGCGCTCTGCTTCCCTCCTGCTCGTTCCTGCCTCCGGGGGGCCCGGATCTGGGGGCGCCCTCGCTGCCAGGCTGCCTGCTGCTGCCCTCTGTGGGCGGTGGTGGGAGCAGGGCCAACAGCTGACACAGAGCACCGCCCACCAGGTTTATTCGGTTGCACATCAGCCTGTTATGCACAAAGTCGAGGAGTCGGGGGGAGCAGGCGCGGGTCCAGGAGCTGCTCAGGACACCAGGACAGTGCAGGGTGGAGGCGCCGTGCAGAAGGCAGCCTGGCTGCACGAGGACAGGTGCGGCCCCTCGGGTCACTGTCCCTCAAGTGGACTCTCACCGAGCCGGGCGCCTCCTGGGGGTGGGATGGGGGCCCAGCAGTGCAGCAGGCGGAGGGAAGCCGGGCCTCCCCAGGCACGCAGGGCGGTGGCCCCTGCGGGGAGGTACCCTCCACAGAGCTGGCCCCCTCTGTGCAGCCTAATGGGAGGGTGCAGGGCCTGCTGTAAAGGGGCGCCGTGCAGGGAGGGGGAGGCAGGAACGCCCTCTCCAGCCCTTCCAGGACCGCCTGGTCTGGGGCTGCAGCTCTTAGAACCACGTGAGCCGCGGGGAGGCGCAGGAAGCCGGGCTCCGGGGACGTCCTCCCTCAGGCGCTGTGGCTCCCTCTCTCGGGCGGCTCCTCCTGCTGCTTCATGGCCTCCA